ACAGAGCGTGAAAAAGAATTCCCATGCCGGGAATCGAACCCGGGCCGCGTGGGTGAAAGCCACGAATCCTAGCCACTAGACCACATGGGATTGGTATCAATCTCTGATAATGTTACTAATCCGATACTAATTACTAATTGTGAATGTTACTAATTGCTACTAATTTGATTACCTATAGTTAATAATTAATTAATAACTAATTAATTTGTTACTAATCCGTGAGAATATTACTAATTGGCATAATATCATTTGTGGATTTGAATGGTTCGAGATTGATCAGAAACAGGAGAAGGTGCTTGTGACGATACCTGTCCAGGTGAATGTTATACCAAGTATCACGATCTGCTATAGTGATGTAGTTGACGGGATGCGTATTGGTCACCATGCGTGTTTCACCACCGATATTCCAATGGGCAACAACACGACGATCACGTAACTCTAACGCAATATATTCAGAGGCTTGCGTTCGTTTGGATTTGGTACGTGTTAAGAATATCAGTGAGTCTGGTACGTCGATGGCTGGACGGTATTTGACTGTGATGGTGTTGGATGGTGATGGGTGCATTGGAGAGATGAACGAGCGACGACACAGACCTGTTTCATCGGATTTGACTGAGATGCGAATCTGAAATACGAACAATGTTACTGGCAATCCNATATACATTGAAAGACATTTAAATGTTCTGATGGTTTATTGTAATGAACACTAACTCTTGAAGCCATTTCACGCGCTTCTTTGATCTTATTCTTCAACTCATCAATTCTTATTCCCAAATCAATGATTCTCTCCGCATCGCTGTCGGTTTGTGCTCGAACATTTTCCACTTTTTCCATCGCTGATTTCAATTCGTCATTAGCTTCACGAACTGAAAATCGTTCATAAATACTGATAGAATCAGTAGGTCTCATTGACTTCTGCTTTATGTTTCATTGAACACAAAAACAAAATTCTTATAAGCAGGCGATAAAAAGTCAACTGACCGCTATCGGTTGCGTCTCGAATACTTTGACCAGCGAAATCCTTCAATTTCGCTGTCTCTTCGTCGATCTCCGCGATTTGCGCCACAAGCTCTTCGGCTTTATTGTGCGCATCCTCGGCACGTTCTTCCGCATCCGCAGCAACATTCACCAGACCGGTCATACGGTCATGCTGATCGTCGAATATTTGATACTGATCTGAAGTTTCGCTCACAATATTGGTCGCATCAGGGAGCATAATATTGCCTCAGTAAAAACTGTGATACTCCGATGGCGCTGTCAATCAAATGAAAAATTCATAAACAACACAGAATTCCGTACCTCCAACAGCAGTTTTCTTTTTGATTGCACCGTCTATAAAATCTTTCATTGTAACTAAGCGATCCTCACACGAATCGCGTTCCTCTTGCAAGTCATCCAAACTCAACTCATCAGATTCCATCCTCAACTTTATGCTAGCATTCTTAGCTTCCGATGCTAAGTTGACCATTGATGTATCGGAAGTTGGATCTGCATCGATATAAGCATCTTCAGCTGCCTTCTTTGCCTCCTCTGCTGCACGGCTCGCGTTTTTCAGGGCTTCCACTATTTCCTTATATGAATTCGATGCTTTGATCGCATTCTCGGCAGCCAATTTTGTATCCACAAAATACCTGAAAACATGCTGTTTATACGTGAATGTGAGCGATCCAAATTTGTTGTATTTATCAAATAGATTAAATTTGACAACAATGATGTTCTACATTTCCAAGTCACTCTTCTTCATTACAAGTATCATTTAGAAAATACTGTATTGTTCAGTTGGGAAGGTATTCGATAACAATGTGTTTGAATGTGTATGTGCTCGATGGATTATTCGTTTGTTTTCGTTGCATTCATATTCTTGCTTTAATCAATCTATTTGCATGCGAAAGTTATTGAGGAGTTGAATATGTATAAGTTCTTCACAATCAATTTTGATGGTCCCATTGTGAAGCAGCACGGAATAACGAACCCTTGAAGACGTTGTGCTTCATCAGCAAGTTCCTTCGAATGTTTAGCGCTAGCATCGACATATTCACGTCTATACTCGCCAAGCAATTGCGCATATTTATCTGCTTCATTCTGACATTTATCAATACCGATTCTCAGTGCAGGCAGAAGAGTTTCATTGATATGCTGCAATAAGAATAAAATCATTTAAATGAGAACAAATTTTCGAGTCACCTCCATTATTTGAATTAGAAATTTAAAGTTGGAAATCCAAACAAACACTATATTTTTTGACAGCATCAAGAACACACCTGCTGAAAGGTGCTGAATCCGGAAATTATCAAACGAAAGGTTCTAGTAGCATGAGCCTACGTGGGCTTAGCATCAGTCTGACCCTAGGTGTTAGATCAAGTCTAAACCTAACAACAGGCACGGGCTTAAGCCAGTTTGAGCTTTTAAGCTGCTAAGCACTTTCTTCCTATTCTCCAGAGTCACAGCTATAATATCAGATTCGGAAAGCTGACTGAATTAATGTAAATTTCAAGGAGAATTATAAAAATTTGCATTTAATGAGTTTTGAAGTCAATGCATTCAAAAATTCACCTTCGCATCATCGTAGATATTCAAAATCTTTTCAGTTTTTGCCGTTATAACTCGATCTTCAGCTTCTGCAATCTCATCGTTTGATTTCGCAAGGATTTCGGCAATGCTCGATGCAACCTCATTGAAACGATCAATTCGTTTGGCCACAACTGTCGCGATTTTATTCGCTGATACAGTGTCCTGTCTAGCACTATCCCAAATCGTATCACGATAATCTTCAATCCACTGACGGAATTCATTCAATCGCTCCTTCAGATTTTCAAATGTTGTATCGTTCAGTTTGTGTGATGTAATTTTCTTGACCAATTCGAGAGCTTTCCTGAACAA